CAGGGCCTAGTGTGCCCCTGGTTAGGTTACTCGGTTTCAACCAACTCAGGGTCAAGTTGACGAATTTCTGCACAGGTATAATTTAGCTAATATCCTTCGAAGGATTTTTGACTCAGTAGTGATTGGTATATTAATTTCTAGATTTATCATTTATGAATATTATTCTCGTGCAGAAATTCGGAAACCTGTCCCTGACTTGGTTGAAACAGAGGACCTGACCGGGGCCATACTCGGCATTGGTTGGGCCCTAGTTATAAACGATTTTAATGGAGCTGAAATATGGCTGCTTTACTATATATGGCCCCGAGTGGGTTCCCTATATGTTTCATGTGGATTTGGATTACTGCCTCAGTAGAGAAGCATATTATTCGTTCAGTACCAAAACTGTATTAATACAGATAATCTTTATTGACCTTCATAACTACCCGTGCAGAAATTTTGAAAGGGCCCTGGTAGGGCTCACGTCAGGAAGCTCCAAATTCGCATGAAATAGGGAAAATTCCCTATTCGATTAATTCGATTAAAACCGGGACCCGACCAGTGCCTGGTTTGGCCCCGGTCGTGCTCCATGTTTCAACCAGGTCAGAACCAGGTTGGCGAATTTCTGCACGGATAGATTAGAAGAATTGTAGAAAAAAATCTTATTCTTCACTGATAAGTTTTGATATAGAATGTCCGACAAATGTTTTTATGTTTGGTAAAATCCAGTTCTATTAAGTGAACATAAACCAAAGAGCAATATATGCAAATCCGCATTGTCTCTTGGAGTGGTTCATAAATATAGAGAAGGGTCTATCGCTAAAGAAGTAGTAGTAGAAGAAGGAAGAAGAAGAAGAAGTTGCGATCATTTTTCGTCGGTAGTGCATGGTTCTGGTCGTTATGCCAAGAAAGAGCAATTGTTGGAGATTGTGCGCCTGTACTCGAAACGATCTTGCTGTGTTCTATCGGTATCAAGTTATAAACGCGCCTTTATCGCATAGGTACATTCGCGAAGAAAAGGGTGATGCGCGATTGCGAATGAATGCATCCGGTCGTAAGGAGCCTCACAGCACAGGAGGTAACTCGATTAAAAGAGTCGAACGACTGGAAGGAGAGTGGTGGTGTTGTTGTTGGAAGTAAAGTGGTGGCAGACAGGGCCACTAGGCAAAGTGCGACTTCCCTGATAGTTGAGTTTGTGTGCGAGAAAAAGAAGGAGAGAGAGAGAGAGGGTGCGGTTACCGCGAAGAGGAATCCTGGCGGTAACACATGGAAGGATAGAGTTATTTATTGTTATGGCCGCTTGCTAAGTCGTAGTGTGTGGGTGTCGAAGGGGGGAGCATCCGCGCGACTCTCTTGGTATATATATCGAACAAATACAGATACCACTGGTGCCTATATAACGCGCAAGAGCCACTCTGGACTCTGTCAGGGCAATGTGCAACGCTGCCGCCCACTCCCAATACACCCCGCTGGGTGTCCCAACACCTACCTACAACTGTATTCAACTTCATACTCTCTGATCCGCATCATCACGACGTGTTGGAACCGCACTAAATTTATCCACCGAACGACTTTATTACATTACCACGAACATTTAATTCGAAATTATTACTTAGAAACGAACATATCCCTACTTCCAAACTGCTTGCACACATTTCTGATTTATGTCCTTAGTAAAAATCTGACTAACCATCCCTGAGATCAAGGACCTTCTTTCCGAGGTCTATCTTATTGTATTGCAGAATTTAATTTGTCAAAAAGTTATGATTTTGAAATTAGAAAATATGATTTAGATTCCTCTGAAGCAGATTTTGGTTGAAACAACGGAAATTTTAGAAGAATGTAGAAATTAATTTTGAATAGAAGAATTAGAAGAGTTTTTTTTTATATTGGTACAACAGTGAGGAGCCGAATACCCGCTGGTTCAAGGACTACTGTCGGGGGAAATAAAAAAGAAACATCGGCAATAAAGAGGGGATACAAATATATAGGACCATTTCATGGCTTCACGAAGGAGCCAGCAGACAGCTTGGAGTCTCTTTCGTGACTCGTGCCCGTCATTCTTTGCCCGGATATATGGGTTCATTATATAGTTTTTAAAAACATTTTTTTTATATCAGCTATATCTTTTATTTTTATTTGCAGCCAGAAAACAGATCACTAGAAAATTGTATTCAGAAATAATTTAAAAAATTACAAACAAACAGATAGAAAAAAATAATTGTAGAATTCTTTTTCTAATCAATTCAATTAATGTAAATAAGTGATTTTAATCGCGTCGAGAGAAAAGGTCAATAGAGAAACTTCATTTCAATTTAATAGTGTATTGTTCGACATTTTGATTTCACTAATATTTTTACTTTTATTTTGCTTCTTTTTTGCGAAATTTTTGTTTCATTTATATAGATTAAGTAGATATTATTAATCATTAATAGATTAAATAATTCTTCTTAAGATGAACAAAAATCTTTATTGGAATTAATTTTATTGAAAATGTTTATCGGAAGGTTTGTGAGTCACATTTATTTTTTTTTGCGAAAGAAGAAGACATCCGCGGATTGTTATCAAGAGTACAACCTACACGAGAAGTGTAGAAGTCAAAGTATTTATATACGAAGAAATAACAAGTTACAATTTTATGAGGTGCCTTTTCTCGAGACAAAGGTATTGGATTACTCGGTTTGTTAATCAGACCACTCGTGTTCCTTATGGGAGTACTATAGATCTTGTAGCCTCACGCCGACACGAAGTTGAGGCGCTGCTGGCTTTCATCTCGCGCACCCAGAGAGAAAACATAAGCGAGAGTCTCGGGCGTTTTAACTGCTCTTCAGAATCTCTTTCTCTCTCTCTCTCTCTCTCTCTCTCTCTCTCTCTCTCTCTCTCTCTCTCTCTAGGATATTATAGTTTCGAAGAGTCTGGCACACAACGTACATGAAGCTGTGGGCAATGAAAAAGGGGGTTCGGTTCCTTCTTTTTTTTTTTATTTTTCTTTTCGCGAACGAGGTGTCGGACAGACGGTTCGCGTTTTATATATGCCGGACCACACAATTCTACTTGTTGCATTTATTTTAACAGGCATACACGCCTACGTCTATATGCATTTAAAATATAGCACAGTTGGGCCCTAGTTTATGAAGGGTCGGGTCATGGAGCAAAGTGAACTCGAGGAGAGGGAAAAACCAAGGAGCAAGAGAGAGAGAGAGAAAGAAAAATAAGAAGAGAAAGAGAGCGATGAGGACCCATTGGACCACGGGCTCTCTTTAAAGCCCCGAGGCCACGTTTAACAAGACTCAGTTAATGCGAGTCATAGATCATTCCGGTATGCACTAAACGTTCGAAATATAAATAAGTATAAACACCACGTAAATCAATGTGATTAGGTAGAGATTCACTCCCATTATGAACGTTTTTACGCTTCTATAAAAGATCCTATATAGCTTTCAACCAAAAGGGATGAAAACTTTCATTCTTGGATCTCTCCCCACTTTTTTTTTTCGATCGCTACTGCTACAACTTGGAAAAGTTCTTTAATCCTGATTGACAAATTGACCTTCGAATCGAGGAAAATGTTCAAACAGAAAAAAAAGTCCTTAGGTCATTGACTTTGACCCCGAGTTCGATTGCAAGAAAGAGAAAAAGTCAGCTCGTAAAGTATAACAATGTTGCTACACGCAGAACTCGGGACACAACTTTAATATATATATATTTCATAAAAGATAATATTCTTTTTGCCTTTCTTTTATTTCGAATGATCTATATTTTTTAAATACATAAAAATTTGGAACTAAGATAAAAAAAAAACCAACGGAGATTTTAAATTAAATACCAAATTATTTTTTTTTATTAATTATGATTATTTGAATTCATTTTTCTTATTATTTAATATGAAAAATATGATCACCTAGATTAATGTTATTGAAAAAAATCGAAAGAAGTACAGAGAGAGAGAGAGAGAGAGATAGAAAAACAATACGTATATGTATGTGTGATTGAATTAATTCTGATCGGAAAGTCAGAGACATTTAAATTCATGAAACTTGGAGTTCACCCTCAACTGTGCGAGGGGCCATTACATCGTCGTTTCGTATAAACCGGTTTTTTTGAATGGATGCGCGAAGAGAGAGAGAGAGAAACCCCGATGAATTTTTGTGGTTGCACTTAACGAAATATGGAGGTTCAAATCGATCGTGAACGTCCCTCACGGGCGAATCCGTCGCTGAGATATCGTCCCATGTCTGTGCAAAAAGTAATAAGTAAACCCCCCCATCCCCCCTCTCATCCCTTCTACACCCTATTCTCTTTAGAGATAAAAAGACAAAACCCCAGGTTCTTGGATAATCGTTTACGTCCGGCAGCATTATCAATTTTGTTCGCATTACCTTTTATTCCCTGATGGTGGGCCACTTTTCGCTTCCTGCGCGAAAGTAAAGTAATGCCCGAAGCGCAGATGGTGTGTGTCCCATTAGGAATTCCCATAGACTTTCGCGAGTCATTTGTCATCTTGTTAAAAATTAGGAACCGTGAATTTAGAACTTCGAATTTATCTTCCAACTGCCTGAAGACAACGAAATTACTGTCTCGCGAAAATTTGCTGTTAATTATATATATATGAAAGAATTGAATAGAAAAAAAAGATATATACTTTTAGAATAAGAAAGTAATTACATTTTGTAAAAAAATCTAAACGAATACATTGAAGAAAAGAAAGACTTATTACAGTCAAACCTGGATAAGTGAGACAGTAATTGATCTTATATTTTGAATTAATTTGAAGAGGTTTTATCCTCCCTGGCATATGTATTTTATTTATTTAGATTTTGAGTACAGTGAAACACAGTCAAACCTGCTTAATTGAGATGGCATGTACTAGAGGTAGTTCTCTAACGTCCCACTTAGTCAGATTTAACTGTATTTTATAATTTTATTTTTGTATTTCTTGCAAATTTATATGTTAACTATTTGTAGTACTTCTAAAATTATTTTGCAAGTTTAAAAAAAAAATTTCAAATTTAATGTTTCAGGTACCAGTTATGAAGGTTTGACTGCTGTCTCACTATAATGAAGATGTTCAACTATACACGAGGTTCTTCCGCTGTTCCAGGTTCTAAGGTTAGTTCATTCTTTTTCTAAGTAAAATTTTATTCTTATTAAAAAAATTTTTCTGATCTGACATTAGCAGCCTGATATGTCAGTGCGCAATGAAGATAAATTAAAGAAATGGGGGGGGAGACTAAACTTCCACTATATATAAAAGATTCCGCATAAATACGATATATATAATAATGAAGGTCCGCGAGGATCGGTCGAATGAAAAGCGAAACGGGCAACTTATACTCGCGCAAAAGAGGGAGATACATCAAGATTGGGCTGACGGTTGACTCCGCGTGCTTAACGTAGCGGGGGAGGAGAAAGGAAGGGTGATGGTGGTGGTCCAGTAAAAACTGGATCCTTCTTTCACCAGCGCCTCGCTCTTTTCAAACCACCTCCCCCCCACCCCTTCAAAGCATAATAAGGACAAACCTTTAATCTCGCAGGCTCAATTATAATTTCCTTGGTTCGTCTGAGCCGCAGAAAGAGAGAACATTTCAAACCCTGGAACAAACGACGCGACCAAAGGGAGCGATCGTAGATTGAAAGTGGACCACCACCTTGGCAGTTTTTCTGCGATTCATGTGTATACGAGAGCGTGGAACTTAAAAAGATCGCCTCTATATATATATACGTTTCTTCCATTGGCTAATAAGGGTCGTTGTCTTCAACGCCATCTTGAAAGAAATCGCGGTTCGTTTGCCAAACAAGAGTATATATATATATATATATATATATATATATATATAATAAAGAGAGATTCTCGGCTCTTATTCATATTTAAATTTCGATTTATTTAAAATATCTCTCTTTTCTCTATACACTGTTTCAACGATAAAATGCGTATATATATATAGACATTGAGATTTTTTTGTAAAGGAATTTTTCATCAAAGAAAACTATTTTTAAAAGAACTGGAGTGGGTGTATCTTTTTTTTTTTGCTGATATAATCAATGCGCATAATCTGATGGGTGTCTCAAGCTTCATTTGATCAGGCATATATACCTGTAAAAGCTTGTGATTTGACACCCGCGTCTCATACGTCTTTCTTTTCGTGTAATTTAATTCGTTGAAATATTCCAAACGGATATGCTTTTGCCAAAGAGAGCCAATAAGAAATCATGCGCGCGCGTCTTTGTCATTTTGAGCGAGAAAAGTGCTTTGTCATTTATGTTTCCGTTTCGGGGGTGTGGATCCCTTGAATTTTTTTTTTTTTTTTTTATTATTATTATTACTATTATTGTAAGGAAGTTTGTTACGCGACACATACATGCACATATGAGTATATAAACCGATACAAACGAACCAGGTGTGCGATTATTGCTTTCTAGGTCCCAAAGTAACTATACAGCATCCAGGAATCCCTCGTTCATCCCGTCGAACAATGCTTTTCGAGCATGGAACTCGCTCTTCGACGATGCAAGAATTTTATCGGCGCGGCCCAGAATAAAGGAGATCGCTATCTGGTTTATTAGGGTGCCTTCGCTAGAAAGTTCGTCGATGCTTCCCTACTAAAGTGATAAACAAAGCACGCCTTCGCGGCTGGTGGCCCTGATTCGCGTTTTTTTTCCTTTCTGTATAAAAAAAATAGCTATAGATTTTTTATAATATTTTAGGGCCTATTTTTTTACAAAGATATGATTCAAATGAGATTCTAAACGCATCTGAAGTAAGAATTATCGTTTATTTAAATTTAAATATAGTCGAACCTGTTCCAGTTAGACTGGTTTAACTGTATTCACAAATTTTTTCTATATGATTTCAGTTGTTTAAGTCTATTTTTTATTATCACTGAATAATCTTTGAATAGTAACCAAACAGTATTGTTAAAGCTTAGGTACAGTCAAACCTAGTTAAGTGACCCCTTCGAAAGAATGAATTGTACTCCACTTTGAAAGGTTTACAAACTTGCAGTTTGTGTAAAACTATTCCTAAGCTTCAAAATTTTTCATTTTATTTCACGTCTCACTTAGACAGGTTTGACTGAGATTCAAAATTCTACTTCTATCGGTATTTTTATCCAGGACTGAGATTTGATTCCACAGTCACTATTTTTCAGTAGCAAAAATTAAGCATTTTTAGTAGTATAGTTTCTATTTTATAAAAATCCCACTTAAATAGGTTACAGTGTATTTGAATTTCTACATGTACCTTATACTAAAGTATTTTTCAAAAAATAGTATGGTTAAAATAAAAGAAAAAAACAATAAATACCAATTAAGCAATTGTTTTGAAATACAAGAACAGGAGAAAAATGAATAATATATATACGTAAAAGGATGACACGTGAGTGCATTAGAGAATCAAGGAAAGAGTCCTCTTGCTCCTTAAGGTATCATGAGTCCTATAGCTCGTGGTCTAATGTGCACGAATGGAACTGGGATATGCAATGCACGTTCTTGGATACGTTACCATATGTATGTGTGAGTGCACATATGTGTTAAGGGTGTGTAAGTGGACATAAATGTATAGCAATAGTAGAATCGCTGCAACGTGCAGACCACGAAGAGCGTCAAAAGGGAATGTGTCCCCTCCAGGAGGTGCGGTGGAGGAGACGAAGAAGAAGACGAAGAAGAAGAAGGAGTATATATATACGAGGGGGACAGAGGACAGGGGAAATGTTACATCGTGGGCACTCCATGTACAGAGTCAGTTGTGTCTCGCGTACGCGAGAACCAATCCCAGTATTTGCACTTCCTTCCTAACGCGGATGGCGACCACCTCTCTGCAGGGGCGTATCCTTCGCTCCTAGAGCCCGCCCTAGGCTCTTCCAGTACGCTCAACTTATTTTGTCCCTTTTATCAAAAAAAAAAAAAAAAAAAAGCCTAGCGCCACTGACAAATGACACTGGACTAGACTTTGATAATTCCTTTTTCAATGTATCGTATCATCCATTTTTCGGCAATTAGCGGCTACATATTCTTCATTTATTTAACCTAGATCCAAATTGTTTGATAGGAGTTCCCATTTAACGATGTTTGACTGTATTTGTAATTTTCGCTTCCATTGAAACGTTACTATCCATTTTATCATAACTCACGAACCTAAAAGCACCATGTGACAAAAGTTAGATACAGTGCAACCTGTTAAAGTGAGATCGTCAGGGATGGATCGTTCTATACTCATAGAAGACAAAGGCTTTTTAAAACAAAATTGCTCGAGCCTTAGCAAAAATTCTCAGTGATTTACGCATTTAAATCAACGTCCCAATTAGACAGGTTTTACTGTATTTACAAATTTTCCATTCATATGAATTAGAACCACATATGTATAAATGTTTCTATATTTGTAACAAAGCTCATACACTGGATCTTTAGTTATAGACGAATATGTGTCTCAATAACAGGAGTTCTATTGTAATTGTTTCGTTATGAATTACAATTACTAAAACATCGTCACCGAGTGTATCAGCACAAAAATTTCTTTAAATTGATATAATAAACCATAAAATTCAAGCAGACGCGAATGACGCCAAAAAAGCAAATATTAAATCCTTGACCATGTTTCTGATTTATTTGTCCATATATTGTTTGGTTAAAATGATCATCTTAATTGCAGACATAAAAACGTCTCATTCATAAATCAAGGGAAAATAAAAAGAAAAAAAAATCCCTCCAATGAATAGACTCTCTTAACAATTATAGAAAATGTATGAGAGAAAGAGAGAGAATTCTGGCTTGTTTTCAAAGCGCGGTAGGTCAATGTGTGCGTATATATATATAGATTGATGTCTGCTTTTCGGTGATTCATATTTGATGATTTGGAAGCGAGAGTTCGCTGTTTGAAGAATCGTCTCTTGATTTGGAAGATGGAGTGTATATTCTCGAATCACGCATATATATGACTATATGGTATCATCATCATCATCATCATCATTTCGTGTGTGGCTCTCGTCATTCTATGAGTGGTCGCCTTTTCTCCGATCGTGCATACAATGCCTTATGGACACGGATGGATTACTCTCGATCGAAGGCTATACGTTCGACAGGTATATATACATATATGTCGAGAGGGTCCCTCTCTCTTTCTTTCTCTCTCTCTCTCTTTGTGACGCTCGAACAGATTTATACGGTCGGTTCCACCAAGCGCAGACGATTCGACTCTTTGCGGATTCTTGGGCTTCCACCGATATTATTAGCGGTCGCGTATATAGCCACTCTTTTTTAGTCTGACATTGGTAGCCTCGCTGCTTTTCGACAGGTACCGACCCTTCTTTGATACCTTTGCCTTGGCTTTGGAGGCACACACGGGATACTTTTTTTTCCTCCCCATCGCATAATATGTGTGGTTCCACATATATTTTATTTTGTGTTATCTACTCTGGTTATATGTATATGTAGGATTGAAAAAAAAAATGAAATTTCATTCACAATATAGTTGCTGATTTAGAAATTTTGTTGTCAATATAAATTGTACCAATTAGAAATTGACTATTGGTAACTGGTTTAGTTACTTTACCTGGTTAAATCTGTTGGGGTTACCAATAGTGGTTTCTACCGGATCAGTACTGACAATTATAGCTCTAGTTCCAAACTAGGGAGATTTAGTTTACCTCATACTGGCAAAGAAGAAAGTCAGTACTGTTATACGGTTCTGCACTGGTATAACCAGAAATATAACAACCAGTATTGTTTATTTCTAGATTAATACCGGCAAACAGTATTTTTAGCAGTAGAAATTAGTATTGGCTGGTAACCCAGTGCTTAATACTGGGTTTGTAGTGGCTATAATTGTTCTGTACTCGGAACCAGTATTTTAGTATTCTAACCAGTACTGTTTTTGTATACTATAGCAATCAGAAGTATCAAACAGAATTGTTTATTTCTAGATTAGGCAAACAGTATTTTCTTTTGCATGAGAAACCAGTACTGGATGGTAACCAGTACTTAATACTGGTTTTGTACTATGGACATCATTTTTCCGTACTAGGAACCAGTATAAATTTAGTATTTTCAACCAGTATTGTAACCGCAGTACTATGTTAGTACTGGCTACCATTTTAGCAACATTCAGTATTTGT